GCTCCGGGCTCCTGGTGGAACCTTGCAGAGAGATGAGTGGGGAACTCCTCCAGCCAATAGTGCCCTTGGGTTTCCTTCCCCTTCTGGAATGTGAGTGGAATCTCCCAGGTCCTGGAGGCTCATTCCCATGGAAGGCTTTGGTCACGTTCTGGTAGGGACTACTCAGTGCCTGGTGTGCTTTGAATCAGTGACTTTCCTCCTGTCTTTTGCTGAGACAAGGAGGATGCTTTTGTCGTTGTAGGTGTCCTGCTGGCTGTCTCTCTGTTGCTAAGCATGTGTAGGCTTTACCTGGAAGCTGTGTTACCTTTCTTTTGATCTGTCAAAGCTGAATCATTGCTTTAAGGAAGAAAAAGTTAAGATGCATATGCTTTGCAACACAAATTGTGTACATTGCCATCCCTTTCCAACACAAAGCTTAGGGTTCACCTGAAAATAAGGGCTCCTTGAATTGAGTGACAGAGGTTGAAAAGAATGTCTTGTCGTGCTGATATAGGGCCAGGGATCATCTGAAAAAGACAATTAATTAAAGCTATCTCAGGCTGTTTTGTGTTGCTATAACAAAACGCCAGAGGCTAGGTAGCTTATGGAGTAAAGAGGTTTATTAGGGTCACAATTCTGGTGACCGAAGATCCACACAGCATGGGAATGGGAATCCGGTGTGTGCTGAATGGGCCAAGGTCACAGGACAACCTCACTTTATAGCAGCCTGTGAGGAGAACTAATCTATCCCACAAGACCAGCATTGATTCCTTCTGAGGGTGGTGGCTCCATGGCTTCCCACTAAGCCCAGCCTCTTAAAGTTTCTACTGCCTCCCTGCCATACTGGGGCCTTCTAAGCATTCTGCATATTTAAGCTGAGGTAAACTTATGTTCTGTGTTTGAAAGCAGGAGTAATAAAAATCTTTAAGAGATGGTTTTAAAATCTCTCACTGCACAGTTTATGCCCTTTCTTTGTTGTTGTTTGCTGTTGCAGAAGGCTGTGGGCTGGGACATGTTCCTGGTCATTCTGAGAGACCAGCTTCTGGATGAGCCAGAGAGGAGATGTTCCCGAAGTCTGGACACAGAGCACACACCTTTCCTCTCTCCCCACAGCCTCTGGGGAACAGTTATGGTACCCTGTGATCATACATATGGTACCCTCTGGCCCTGCCCTGCTCTGTCAGAGAAAAAAGCAGCTGTGAACTTCGGGAGAAACTTGGAGCTGATCCTCCCTGAACTGGTTCTCCCAGAGCTGATCCTCCCAGACCTGATTTTCCCCAGAGTGAGTCCTCTCCAGAGCTGGTCCTTAAAGCTGATCCCCCCAGAGCTTGTCATCCCCAGAACTGGTCCTTCCAGAGCTGGTCCTCCCAGAACTGATCCTCCCAGAGCTGGTCCTCCCAGAGCTGGTCCTCCCAGAGCTGGTCCTCCCAGAACCGGTCCTCCTAGAGCACAGCATGGCTTCTGTTCCTTTCTGTTTCTTTTCTTCCCCATCCCCCACCCCAGCAAACACATCCTCTTTCCCAGCCATCTTCTTGTTGAGAGCGGTTGGGAGTAACCAGCTCCCCCAGGACAGACCTGAGTCACTCTGTCTGGGGTGGAGAGTCAGAAGAACATGTGAAGACAGGCCTGGGAAAAGCCAGACTCACCACTGCCTAGAGTTTCAGGGTGAGCAAGAGTGAATTCCAAGTACCCCTAGACCTTGGCTGGGCTGTGCCAGGTCAGAGCAGCCTGTGTTCAGAACAGCTGGGGGACATGTGGAAAAAGATGCAGAACCCATTTTCTAGGGGAGGCTCCAGAAGGTTCTCCTGGACACAGCTTCAACTTTAAACTGGCCATCTGGGCTGGAAGCAGGGTTCGGTGGGGGGAGCAATTGCTGCTTGCCTAGCATGAGCAAGGCTCTGGGCTTGATCCTCAGTACCTCAAAACACAACAAAAAGGCCTGCCTGTGTGGCAGGAGTATGCTGTCCCTCCCTGTCATCTGGCACCCGACACGGCCGAGTGAGCAGGCAGGGTGACATGGCGGGCATTAGGGGGAGGTTGGGTAAATGCACTTGCTATTGTGAGCCCCACATAAAAGGCAAAGTACCATTTTCCTCTGAATTCTTGAGGAAATTGCTCCCCTATACAGCACCAACCGTTGGCTGGGTGACAGAGACAGAGTGTCCTTTGCCTGCCATTACCGGGCTGTGAAGTGTGGTCTGAGCTGCTTTTTTTTATTTTTTTTTTGCAGTTTGCAATCTTTTGGGATCCTTGGAGGGCTGGCTTGTGGGTCAGGTTTGTTTAGTCTGGTCCATAGTGGTGTAAAGTGGCCTTGGCTGCGGAGCCCACCTAAATAATACTCTATCTGTAAGATTCTCAACAGTTGCTCAGAGTTCTGTGTACGTTTCATTTTCTAATATGCAAGGCCGAATTGGATTTCATTGTTAATGGATGTCAAATTGTTTCTAAAAATAACATCATCTTGCTTTGGAAGTTAGCCTGAGTTCGGTGAGCCCCTGGCTTCAGGGGCTGAGCTCCTTTTCCCCAGGAATACGGCACCACGCTTTTGTGTTTTTATATGCACATTCTTTACTTTCTGCATTTCTTTCAGGAGACTCATCTGAACATATCCCATTTTAAAAACTTTTAAATGAAATAGAACATAGAGTAGCTCCAGGATAAATGCCCAGTGAATTTTAACAAACGCAGCATACCGGAGCACCAGGAACAAAGCAGATGACACCCGGGGAGCCCTTCCTACATCCCCACGAGTACAGAAAATTCGAAATTTCTTTTGCTTGTAATTCACCCGAGTGTTTTCTGTGTTATAGCTTATTCCTTTTTGTCCAACATCTGAACCGTCCCCTGGAGACTGAGAGGAGAAAGGCCTGCCTGGGGTTTGCCGTGTCCCACACAGTTGTGTAGATTCATCAGGCTCTGGTGGACGGGTTTATCTGTATATGCCGCTAGTGCTAAACCATGTTCCTTTACTTACTTCTCACAATAAAAGCCTGTGCTTACGGGGCTGGAGAGATGGCTCAGGGGTTGAGAGCACTGACTGCTCTTGTAGAAGATCCAGGTTCGATTCCCAGCACCCACATGGTGGCTACGAACCATCCTTAACTCCATTTCCAGGGGAATCCAACACCTCTTCTGACCTCCTCTGTGTTATGTGACACGGGTACGCTCACATACATGTAGGCAATACACATACACAGAAAATAAAAATAATAAATATAATATTTTTAAAAACTTGTACTTACAACTGTGGGGTGCTGGTTTTGTGAATACTGTGGTGCTCACTTTATGATTTTGGTCTAAGTACAGGTCTTGGCGATGGAGAGGGTAGTGGTGGAAGAAAATGCTCCTTGCAAAATATATTTGTGTGCGTGTGTGTGTGTGTGTGTGTGTGTGTGTGTGTACCTCAGTGTGCATGTGGAAGTCAGAGGACAGTTTGTGGGAGCTGGCTTTCTTTGTCCACCATGTGAGTCCCAGGGATTGAACCCAGGTCATTAGGCTTTGTGGCAAGCACATTTACCCACCGAGTCATCTCGCTGGCTCCCCATGGGGAACTATGGATTCAGAGGTGTTTGAGAGAAAATGGATCCTCCTCCCTAACCCTTCTATATTTCAGAATGAATCTGGCTTAAGCCCTGCAGATGCGCTTTATTCTCCATTTAGAAACAGTTCAGTTTCTTTCTCCCTAAGTTCCTCATCTCTCAGAACAGCTTCCATCACAGCAATATAAATAAAAAGTGGCATAAAATTATATAGCTCTGTGTAAAGCAGTTGAAGGAAAATGTCTTTTATGGAGGCTTTTATGATTTAACCAATTGGTTATTAGACTTTCTTCCTTTTTAATTCGCTGTCCTGCAAGTGCACTCTCAACGTCTCCTTACATCTCTGCCTCCTAGTCGCACCGGGTCTGGGACTGACAGTCCCCACATCAGGCTGGCTACCTTATTTCATGAAAGCATTCCATTACAGCCTGTTGTTAGATGTGGGCAAAGCAAGACCTGGGGGAGGGAAGCCAGCCCTGAACTGTTTTTCAGTGGTGTTTTGCTGTGGTGTTAATGCTGCCTCCGGCCGCCGTTGAAGGTAGCAGTGGATAGACCACAGGATTGCCCGGCAGCCCTGGACCTTAAGCTGCTAAATCCCGAGTTTTGAGTAACTTTCCAAACAATCCTGGGAAGTGAGAATAACTGAGATTTGCTCCTGCCAAAATTTAATCATGCAGAAAAAGTGAAATTTAGATCAGTGTATAGATTAGTTTTTAATGTGGGCGCTCAGCGGAGGAGGGTGAGGAAGCCAGAAACTGAGCCCTTAGTGCAGGCGAGTCTAGACCATTGCAATTTGATTCATTTAGGGGAATTGTGTTGGGTTTGAGGCTTTGGCTTGGGCGAGGCTGTTCTTTCTGGGACTGCATGATGTCATCGTGTCAAGCGTGTCACAGCCAAGGCATTCTGGTATTTATGTTGGCCTCAGATCTAGCCCAGAGTACATGGCAGCCTCGATTTATTGCTACTTTAACTTTGTTTAGTCATGGAGAGGTTTTATTTATGTTGGTAAATTTCAAACAGTGGCCAACAGTGACCACACAATGAAAGGGCCTGCAAGATTCATCATCGATAAATCACCTTGTTGCTGAGTTTCTTTAATTAAGGAAAAACTCCGTCTGTTGATCCCTGTGGTTTGCTGGAAGGGAAGTGGGGTGGGGAGTACTTTGATTAATCCATCTATCAGCCCAGCCTTGGAAAGCGAGTCTCCTGTTTCTGATTGTAGCTGGGCAAAGACCTAAATAAAAATTTATCTTGTCAAAACCTATGGGCTAACTGAAAGCAAATAAAGAAGTTTTATGGCATCCACATAAAGTTAAATAAATAGCGAGAAAGTGCAGTATGTCCTACAGATATTTCTCAGTACAGGCTGTGGCCGTACTTTGGGGAGAACTCATCAGCCTAAAAATTGACCTTTAATGGGCCACTCATTATTGTCATCATCAAATGCTTGACTTGACTTGTCTAATGTTCCAGGCTTTAATCCCCAGTTAAAACCCAAGGCTGGGGCTTGCGGCTGGGTGCTGTTGGAGCTCCCCAGGACAGAAGGCACAGTATGTGCTTCTTTTCGAGAGATATTCTTTGAGAATTGCGCACATGCATACTATGTGTCTTGATCATATTTGCCCCTATTCCTCCCCCTAACTTTAAGTGTGTGCTTCTAAGGGGGGAAATGTGGACCCTGTGACTGTCAGGGGAGTTTTTCTATTGATCCTTCTGCAAGGTGGTCAACCTTCCTGAACTTGTCACAGTACAGGGGAGGGGTTCAGCAGGGCCCAAGCTTTTCATGCCTTGATTGGACCAGGGACTTCATCTCTGGCTGAACCAACCTTTCGAGTGTTGGCCTTCCTCTGCTGGAATAGTCTAGAAGAATATGTGGAGGAGTCTTCCCTTCTCTCTGAGCTTGGGCTCACTGTGGAGTGCATTTTATTTCTGGTTAAAAAATGTCTTTGAATCAGACAAAAGACAGCAGCTGGTGATGAAGGCCCGTTTTGATACAGGAATGGGCTTAAGATGATTTGCTTTCCTTTTTAGGTTATGGAGAGGGTGTTCTCCTGGTACCAGGCTTCAGGATCCACTCACAGGAATGGGATCTCTCAAGCGTCAAGACTTGGCGCCGGATACATTTGTCAGTCAGCTCCTGTCTTTTTGATGGAATTGTACAGTACGTATGGGCTTGGGGGAATCAGGAGCATTTTGAGGAGCATCTCCTTGGGATCCTGGTGTTGTAGACTTCTACTTTGGAACATGACATCTTTGTGTTGGCAGAATAAAGCTCCTTGTGAATGTTAGCAGATAGGTTGCAAGTACTTGCCTTTCCCACTGAATCCTACCTTTATTAACGGAGCGCAGCTCTTATGACTCAGGTGGTGGTCATGGTGGTAGTATGTGGGTGGGAAGTCTGCTTCCCGAGTCCAGTTGGGAGAGGTGGAGGAGGGAGAGATGGAGAACACTCTGATATAACTAGCTGGGTCAGTGCCACCGACCTCGAAGGCTTCAGGTTCCTCAGATTCCAAGCTACTCTTCAGATTCACACTGCAAGGCTGGTAAGCGGGCTCTCTGGACGCCTTTCCTTTGGGTTGGGGAGGCAAATACGTGCTCAAACGTGAATCAGTTTCAGTGTATAGGATTTGGTCATCGATGGATTAAAAACTTTCCAGACACGTTACAATGACTATGTTGTAGGAACTTTTTATTGACTTCACTTGTTCCAAGACATCATTCAAGGCCATCATGGAGTCAGCTTAGTTTTCCCTTTACATTAGGAAGGAAAATTCAGTTTAGTCTAGCACTGAGGTCACAGGTTTAACATCAGAGCAACAAATACAGATTAAGTTCTAGCAAGCACAAGGCAGGGGAGCCTTGGAGGGTCACAATTATGGCCCTTGTCTTGAGGATTCTAATTTTTAAACAACTATAGGTACTTGTCTATGTGCATGTAAATGATGTGCCTGGGGAGGCCGGCAGAGGGTGATAAGGTAGCCTTTCCTTTTCTGGCTATGTAGGTTTTGTTTTTACTCTTTCTTCTTCTTTGATTGATTTGTTTATTTTTATGGGGCTTTTGGCTACTCCAACATTCTCCCCTCTGAAGAGGTAACTCTAAAATCTTTTAAGGATTAGATAAAAGCTCCCAAATATTTTTGACATTTTTGGCCTTTGGAACGGAGTAGGTCTGGCTATGTATTTTTTAAAAAATTAGTAATAAAAATAGTAATGATGCACATTTTGGGTATGTAGCACAATGTTTTGGTCTATATATTATAGAAAAATTTAATCAAATTAATTCAATATCCATCATATCACAACTCATTTCTTATAGTGAGAACATTAGAAGTCTCTTCTTTTATCAAGTTTGAAAAACATTATTATTAACTCTGGTTCTCATCTAGTGTAATAAATCACAGAAATTTATTATTTCTCTAGTCTAACCACTTTTCTACTCTTTCTATAAGATAAACTTTATATATTTGAGAAAATACAATATTTATTTTCCTGTGCTGGCTTATTTCACTTAACACAATGTTAGCCAGTACCATCCATGCTGTTGCAAGTGGTAGAATTCCGCCTACTTTACAGTAGAGGTCGCACAGCCATCCATCAGTGTATGACCACACCTGTCTTTATTATCTATTTGCTTATTTTTTATTTTTATTTGATGTGTGTGTTTTGTCTGCATAGATGTAAGTGCACCCATGTCATGCAATGCCCACAGAGGCCAGAAGAGGGTGTTAGATCCCCTGGAATTGGAATATGGGCAGTTGTTAGCCACTATGTGGGTGCTGGGAATTGAACCTGGGTCCTCTGGAGGAGCAGTCAGTGCTCTTAACCACTGAGCCATCTTTCCAGCTTCTCTATTTGCTTCTTGAGCAACATTTAGGTTGTTTCTATCTTGGCTGTTGTGAACTGTCTAAGATGAGTGTGGGAGTGCAGATATCTCTTCAACATTTGCATCAAATTCCTTTGAATATATACCCAGAAGTACAGTACTGGGTCAGACGTCAATTCTTTTCCAAAGTGACTGTAATCACTTGCTAGGGCAGATGCTTAAAGTGGACTCCTGGAGGGCAGGAGCAAACATCTCTGTACTCTTCGGAGGCTGCCTTCCCTCCCTGGGAATCTATTTTCTGCAGTTGTTTTTGAGGTTCTGGCAATCTGACGTGCACAGAAGCTTTGCTGGGGTCCCACTGTCTCCCCATGTGTATCTTTTGGGAAAAATGTCTTTATGACAGTGCCAGGCCAGCACCGACTTAGTCATGTGGGCTCCCTCCACTTTTAGAACTGGTATCCATAGTCTCCCTTTGGACTTGACCACACAGCATAGTGTTACCAGCTTCTGGTGCTCTATATATTTTTGGGGACATTGAGCAAGCTCTGGTTGATCTCCCTGAAGGTCTTCCCACCAGACTTAAGGTGAGGGGAAATACCATTTAAACAATAGCTGTCCCCAACATATATTCTACTTTTTTCTGTCATGAGAGTGTAGATGATTTCCTGGAATAAAGATCATATTCTTGCTTCCCTTGCAGCTAGAGAGGATCACGTGACCAGATACATGAATCAGTGGCACAGTGAGTGTGGACTTCCAGGAAATGTCTTTGAAGGGTAAAAGTGTGCCTTTCTCATTACCCTTTCCTACTGGAAAAAATGATCCAGCTGGCCTAGAAGAGCCATCTTGGTCCCTGATGTGGGAATGGCATGCTGCAGAGGTCCAGCAGCCAGCTGCAAGCAGCTGGGACTCCCGATGACTCACACAGACTGACCCTTGAAGCTTTCATATGGGAGAGAAATAAACTCATATTTTTATCTGATGTTCACAACTGAATTCCATCCTTACCCATGTAGAACTTCACCCTGACTTGGAGTGTGAAGTAGGTTCTTTGACAGGAGGTAGGCTGAAAAAACACAGATGCCACAGGCTAGAAAGATGGCAACCTTGGTTATGTGCTGGCAAAACATCTGGTCAAATTGTATTTCAGAAGACAGACCATGTATTTGTGGAAATGATACAAAGAAAAAGAGGAGAAGGAGGAGGGGGAGGGGAAGGAGGAGGAGGGGGAGGAGGAGGAGGCAGGGGAGGAGGAGGGGGAGGAGGAGGAGGAGGGGGAGGTTGTGGCCAGAACACAGGTCAGGCAAGGAGGAGAATGCTGGTGGAATTAGCTGCTCAGTGTTGCAATGTAGCAAAATTCTGTAAGAAAGACTTGCATTTAGCCAAGAGCCAACTCTAGATGAGGAGGAAACAGAACTTTGGCTATCGGAAGGAGATGCTCTTGTGCAGCCTAAATTCCAATTTCACTGAGTGTCTAGCTAGCAATTTGGAGTCTTTGAAATGCTAAGCTGTGTCTGTATCCCAAAATGAAGCCATTGTAAGAAATGAGTGTAAAATGGAAGCCCAATTAAGACATAATACCATGACCCTAAACATTTAAGCATCTCCCTTTAAGACTTCTCTGCTCTGGGGCTGGTGAGATGGCTCAGCAGGTAAAAGATCTTGCTGCCATCCCTGGAACCCACTTGGTGGAAAGAGAGAACAGACTCTCACAAACTTGTGACTTCCGACCTCCACATATGCACTGAGGCATGAGCACCCCAACACATAAAATAATAAACAAGCAAATATAAAAGAGAGTTGTCTACCATACAGGGAGAACTAATTATGCTGGCTGCAAGATAGAAACTATCTGAGATTCTGTCTCGTTGCCACCGTACTGAGCAAAGAGGTTGTGGCCAGAACACAGGTCAGTGAGTGAGAGGCCTGAGACTTAATGCTTAAAAACTTTGTGGTTTCCATATGTGAAGACAAATACACTGGAAGGACTGTATTGAGAAATGAAAAGTTCCAGAGCATTAGCCTTCACAGAACTACCTGGGCTCTTGGGCCTGTATTCACAGAAAGAGGATGTGAAAGGATCCATTTCAGGTGGGCTCAAGAGGATCACAGCTAGGGAACAAAGTTGAGAGGGAAAATCTAGGGGAAATAACTAAGGGAATCATCCTTAGGAAGGAGAATGAGTGACTGCTGGAGGCCCGAGCGAGGAGCACACTTCATTGTTGAGGGCGAATGTTACTGCTCCTGCCCAGTGGGCTGTGGCAAGTTGCCTATTGGCAACCTCTGGGTATTTCTCATTTTCTCTTCCAAATGGGACTTTTAAGATGCTGTTATGTGGTTTATTCTTTACCATTCTGATTTCAGGTGTGATGGGAAGCTGAATCCATGGTTCACTTAACCATCAAGAGCTCATTTGAGTCTGGAAGGAGGCTGGAGCTCCAGCCACACATGCTGGGTTTGAGCTGACTGCAGTTACTGCTTGGGACAGTGTCTTTTCTACACATTTTAACAAGGATGCGTGGGGAGATGTGGGGATTAAGGAGGGGCTGTGGTTGTGGGGGCTGGAGAAATGGCTCAGAGCACTGGCTGCTCTTGCAGAGGACCCAGGCTAGGCTCCCAGCACCCACATGGCAGCTAAAACCACCTGTAACTCCAGTTCCAGGGGAATCCAACACCCTCTTCTGGCTTCTGTGGGCATTGCATGCATGCAATGCATTTACATATGCATGCAAAATACACACATAAACTAAAAATAAATACAAAAAATTTAAAAAGGGGAGGGTTGTGGAAGAAAGAGTTTCCTATCTGTCACTGTCTGAGCTCTCTTCTCTCAGTAATGTAGCCTTGGCATTTTAACTGGCTGTGGCTTCCTGGTCTTCCTTGTGACTTGGCTGTGTCACTAACTTCTGGTCAATGGGATTTAGTATATGTGTAGCTTCCAGAAGTGTCCACTAAAGGATTTGTGCCTTTCCCCTTCCCCCTTACCTTTCCTACAGTGGGACTGTTGGTAGATCCCCATCCATTAGTTTAGATCCTGTCAGGAGACTCATAGTTTTACTTTCCAGGAGGCATTAGGCTGGGGTTTGCACCCACTTGTAGTTGAATCCAATGTGCAGCACTTTTTTTTTTAGTTTTTTAGAGCTTCTAGAGTTGATATATAAACTACATGAGAGTTTCTCAAATACTCCACAGTGTACCCTCTGTCTATTTATGGAGCATTTTCAGATATGGAAGACACTACTGTCTGCCTTCCTTTCAGTCAATCCCTGTATCTAACCACAAAGCCAGAATGTCTCTCCAGTCCAGACAGCTGCCTGTTAACAGACCACAGTTTTGTCTGGTAATTCGGCAGCTGTGTGCTTCATGGAAGATGAGACCCTGCTCTGAGCACAGGTGTCGTCTTTAAGCCAAGCAAGAGAATCTCAGCACCCTTTACAGTGACTGGTGTAGGAAGTGGCATGCTGTGGTTATGGCTAGTGGTCACCGTAAAGGAACAGATTTGAGGATGAAACCTAAGAGAGCAGACCCGAAAGATGGAAAAAGTTGAGCCCGTGATGGTGTTATTGGATTGGGAGTCAAGCAGTACCGAACAGCTTGGCTTCTAGACTTTTGCTTTATAGGAAGATAAACCTTTACTGCTGAGCCATCCAACTCGACTTTCTGTTGCCTGACTGATGCACCGAGCTCTGCTCCCTGTTAAGAAAGAGGGCCCGAGTTCTTCTCCCTCCTGGGTATGGCAGTACCTGTGTCTCCTGAGATCACCTAGTCAGGGTGCTTCCTGACCCCTACACTGAGCCCCTGGGAGATGGCCAGCCCGATCATCCACTGCTGCATGTTCAGCATGGGTCAGTCCCCGCTGGGAGCAGCTTGACCACCCCAAGTCCTCACCCCATGTCCTTACCATGCTTTTGGTGCCAAGGGAAGTAGAAAGATTTCCCAGACATGAGCCCCTGGGCTGTGCTGATGGTTCAGGCTGGGGCTCAGGGATTACTACCAGCAGCAGCGTGTGGGAATTTGAAATGCAGAATCTCAGGCCTGCCTCATACCTGCTGAATCAGAAGCTCTATTTTAATGATATGTTTTGGCGAGTTGTACGGAAATGCAAGTTTAAGAAGGGTTTCTAGGTTTAAGGCTTACCTCTTGGCCCTTTGGCTATGGTTTGGAAATAGTTTTAAGTGTGTCCCTCAAAGGCTCAGGTCTTAGAATATATACAATGATCTTTATTTATGGTTATGAAAATGTCATAGAGAAATCTGTTATTTTGTATACTAACTAAAATAATTTTTAAAAAGTTCCCGTGTTGGAAGCTAGTCTCAGAGCATTGGTATTAGCAGGTGTTGTGGAAAGGCAGGGAGAGGTGGGGTCTTAAGATCAATTAGGACTGTCCCTTAGGGTGAACTGTGGAACTCTGGTGATACCACAGGGTCATTAGGCACTCACTAGAGGCCAAACCAGTGAGGCTGCCCTCAGGCCATGTTGCTAAATAGATCTTTTTTTTTTTTTTTTTTTTTTTTTGAAACAGGGTGTCCCTGTAGCCCCAGCTGCCCTGGAACTCACTATGTAGACCAGGCTAGCCTCAAACTCACAGAGATCTGCCTGCCTCTGCCTCCCGAGTCCTGGGGTTAAAGGTGTGTGCCACCTTGCCCGGCTGCTAAATAGATCTTTTTATAAAGTTAATCTGCCTCAGGTATTTCCTAATAGTAACATGTAACTGACTAGTAACAGCCTCATTTCCTATTCCCAGCCTGAACTCTTTCTGGGATGACCAACAATGGGAACATGTGTTCTTTGCTTATTTGTTTTAGGGGAAACTGTGCTCTGGAAGCGATGTGGCCCCTTGGGCTCAATAAGACAATCATATAACTTCTACACCAGTCTCTGAACTCAAATCCAAATTGGCCATTAAAAAAAAAAGTTAGGCCTGGCGTGGTGGCACACTCCTTTAATATAGGCACTCAGGAGGCTGAGGCAGGTAGATCTCTGTAAGATCAAAGCTGGCCTGGTCTATATAGGGAATTCCAGGCTAGCTGGGGCTATAGGGAGACTGTCTCAAAAGACAAACAAAAAAGTTGGGGTCTGGATGGAGAGAGATGTCTCAGCAGTTAAGAGCACTGGCTGCTCTTGCAGGGGACCTGGGTTCAGTGCCCAGCACCCACATGGCAGCAAACAGCCATTCATAACTCCAGTTCTAGGGGATCCATCATCCTCTTCTGTCCTCTGCGGGCACTGCATGCATACGGTGCACTTATATACATATGGGAAAAACATACACATAAAATAAAAAAATAAAAAAGGTAACTGCAGCACTGATAGCCCAATCCAGGAAGGGGCTAAACTTGCTCCTTTTATTTTTTCCATATTCTTTTAAAAAATTTAATATTTTTTAACTAATTCTTTAAATTTAATTGCTGATTTTCACACAATGTAGTTTGGAGGTATTTAGATCCCCTCCCCTATCTCCACTTCCCCCACTGCCCCAGGCCAATTTAATGTACTCTCATATATATAATATAGCTTATAGAGTATGATTTGTGGCCCCAAATGTCCTTCAGTGTGTGTTCATCCACTGGGCTCACCAAGAGTCCCATCCCTGTAAGACAGTCTCTCCCCCTCCCAGCAGCCATCACTTGCCAAAAGGTCCTTAAGTTGGGCTGGGACTTCTTACCCACTTCCCCATATCTATGCTGAGATTTTTGTCTGGTTTGAGCTTGCACAGGACTTGTCATGCTGTCACCATTGCTGTGAGTTCATATGAGTAACTGATGAGCTGGCTGGAAAACTGTTTCCTTGTGGTCCTCCACCTTCTCTGGCTCTTACAATCTTTGTACCTCCTCTTCTGCAATGATCCCTGAGCCTTAGGAGGCAGAAGTTTGAAATACGTGTCCTATTCAGTGATAAGCATGCTGGGACTTCTTGTTCTCTACACATTGGCCAGTTGTGGGTTTCTGTG